GCGGCCTGCCCCGGCCGGGAGCAGCGCGCCCCCTCCCACGCCCGGCCCCTGCGGCTGGAGCTCGCAGACCACCTCCGCGGGGGCCCTTCCCAGGTAGCGGAGTGGAGGGCGCGGGCGAGAAGGGCCGAGCAGCGGAGCGCCGGGGGCGGGGTCGCAGCAGCTCTGAGGTTAGGGACCAGACTAGGGGATCCTGGGGCGGGGCAGGAAGATTTATGGGTATTGGTATTTTTAGTTTGAGGGTGTGGCTAAAGGGTTTGGGCGGGACCTCCTGGAGACTCGAAATCTCGGCCCTCAGGCAGGTGCCCAGCTAGACAGACGGCTGCGGGCGGAGGACCTGGCTTGCGGTCTCTGCTCCCGGGGCCGGGTCTAGAATGTTCTGAGACGAGGCCGTGGTGAGAGGTGGGACTAGGCTTTCCTGGAGGTAAAGTGGCGTTGTTGCCCAAGGTGACGCTGAACTCTAGTTGGCGCTGACCACGGTTCGAGACTGGGAGCGGAACGGAGAAGTTTTTATTTGTGACTGGGTGTGTGTTGGAGCGGGGGAAAGCTTGGATTTGAGTTTTTTGAGGGACAGAAAGTGTTTGGATTTGGGGGAATGAGGCTGGGGAGGGTTCTGATTTGGGGAGCGAAGCTAAAGTAACCTGGCGCGGGACTGGTCCCAGAATTCCCATTCTGGGGCGAGGTGTGAAGGCCTGGTCCGGCTCGGCTGCAGAGTCCAAAGAAGCGGAATTCTGAGCTGCGAAACGGAGTATGAAACTCTCTTGCTCATCCATCCTCCCCAAATTTCTTTAGGCTTTAATCCCCTGGACCAGGAACCCCGAGCTGGCCGGCCGGCCTTTCGCAATCTCTGACCTGGGCGTCCTGGACCGCCATCAGCCCTATCTGACCACCTCGGCCCGGGACTTCCGGTTCTACTCGAAGTGAGCCGGCCCTCGTCCGCACTGCTCTCGGGCTCAGTTCCCGCTTAGGCCGATGCGGAGGGGACCGGGCGCCCCCTGGTGTGGTTCCCCTTCTGACAGTAGTTGCCACTTTCCTGCACTCATAAGAACCGACGTCAGACCCCAGCCCTCTTTTAGCACCCAGGGGCAACCCTCAGGAACCTGCGACCGGGACAGGGAGCCTGCCGAGCGCGAGGGGAGTTCTGGATCTGGGGGTGAGGCCCTGAGCCTCTTGGGCGGGGCATCCTTCGGCACTGAAGCCCCTAGATACTCCTGCCCAAGGATGTGGAAATGTATTTCCAGCCCCTTTAGCTCAAGGACGCAGGAATCCAGGCGTCCCCCGGTCCCGTCTTTCCTAAGCGGTCCCCAGCGCCAGCAAATGTGCCCTCGTCTCAAAAAGCAGGATCTCGAGTCTACAATCTTCTCAAGATCGGGGGCCTGAACCTCAGCCTCGTCTCGAGAAAATTTAGTTGTGCCCTCCCCATCCTGCCTCCGTCCCATAGGAAGGAGCTGTCCGGATACCCCCGCAAAGATTTGCTGACCTACTGGAGCTTCCAGGAGACGCCCCAGCTTAGGGGCTACAGCCCGAAGCAGTCGTGCTCCTCTCGGTTGCCTCGACCGCCGCAAGTCCGCTTGCCCCGAACCCACCCAGTGACGCTGGCCGTACCGCACCGCGGGGCCCTGTCTCTGGCTCCGGA